CCCCTGTCTCCCCTGACCGCACGTCACTGGCTAAGGCTCTAAATAAAGCATATATTCAAAGCCACAGCCAGACAGTGCACAACGCAGGCTGGTATAACCATGCCAATATGATACCCAAGTTGCAGTATGACCAGAATGATACTGATCTGATCAAACTGAATGCCTGGTAATAATCAAAAGGACTCTGCTAAATGATGCAAGGATGAGATCAGAGTCAGAGGGAGATGGAAAATACTTGACCTGACATTCACAGCCAGATTTCAGTACTTTACAGTTTTTGAAACTCTGTGCTACAGACACATTTCAGTCAGTGCCAAAAAGTATTAATTTTCAGTATCCAGCTTAATTAAAATTGGGTTATTTACTGTATACAATACAATATGTATAATGGGTTTTGTCAGGAACAGTATTAAAATATTTGTTAATATTTTTGTATATTTTCTATATTTATTAATTTCTGGTGAAACTCAATATTTATGTTTTTTAAAGGGTTCAATTTTAAATGTAGTGATTCTCAAAACACTGCAATCATTCACTTAAATAAGACCATGTGTACTATATTTAAAATTAAAACTCCCAAATTCCCCGAAAAAATCAGGACGTGACTTCTGTCCTCAGTCCTTCAGGGTGTGAAACAGTCTGACTGCACTGGATATTATCCATGCATGCTAATTCTTACAGATCTACTGACTGATACCCTCGAAGTCTTGAGGAAAATCATGTGGACTATTCATTTGATCAGAGGTTGATGACAATGACTGATTTTAGGGCCACAACCAGATGGGAATCTATCATTTTATCAGTCCTTCTTACTCTATTCTGCTTTTTTATTTTATTTTTTTAAACAGGATGACACAGAGCCCTATTTTATTGGAATATTTTGTTTCGAGACTGGCATCAAGATCATCGCCTTGGGCTTTGCCTTCCACAAAGGCTCCTACCTGCGTAATGGCTGGAATGTAATGGACTTTGTGGTGGTCCTAACAGGGTGAGTAGCACTGGCCTAATGGCTTATATAGCTGCTAAGTGACAGAGTTGATGGGCAGCAGCGATTAATGAGGGGAGGGGAGAGCTCTGCTCTGTGTGTGTGTGTGTGTGTGTGTGTGTGTGTGTGTGTTGTATTTCTAATGATCAATAGAGCAGAGCCATTCCAGATGGCAGGGTGTTTTCTTCCTGTTTTGATAAGGTGGTATTGTCTACAATCGACAAGCAGAAAACCAGAAGGAAATCAGATTACACACAGTGCAGAAAAGAGTGCAGCTCAGGATTTCAGGGAAATATGTTTTTGTGATGCACACTGTAATTATTTCAGAATGATAAAACCAGAGAGCCTCTTCCTAAAAATGAGAGGATAGTTTGTGAACGCACACACCTCCTGTTGCCGGTATTGTGTTGAAAGTGAATGTGCCACAACAGCATTAATTAATTTGAATAGATCGGTAAACAACAGTATATGTACCAATGAAAAGAGATGTGTAACACTCTAAACAAAGCGGGTAATTGAGAAACCCCATATTTTAATATTTTAACTGGCTTAATGCAGACATAGTAACTTCTCCACCCTTAGAACAGTTCTCTCTAATGTTACAGAAACAAGGCACTAACAGACATATAACGTGTTTTTTTTTTTTGTTTGTTTTTTTAACTTACCGTTAAGTTCCACCAAGTAGTGGAAACATCACTCCCTTTCAAGTAGCTCCAAGGTTAGTAAATCTGATCATGGTCACTGCATCTTCCCCCACATAACCACATACAGTCCTAAAGTAGTGAAATTAATTCCAACAGGTAGTGTAGTACCAACAATAACATCATGGGTCGTTAATGCGTTCTTTAGCCAGCAACACATCACGTGTGGCAGACACACTGGCCTCAAGCTGTCAAAACAAACAGGTACTGTGCTCTGGGGGAATCCAGCATTCATGAGCTCATTTTGTGAGCTTTAGGTCACATTTAAGATGATAAACACCACTGTAACACTGTAGATAATAATCTGAAAACAAGGACCCCTGTCTCCCCTGACCGCACGTCACTGGCTAAGGCTCTAAATAAAGCATATATTCAAAGCCACAGCCAGACAGTGCACAACGCAGGCTGGTATAACCATGCCAATATGATACCCAAGTTGCAGTATGACCAGAATGATACTGATCTGATCAAACTGAATGCCTGGTAATAATCAAAAGGACTCTGCTAAATGATGCAAGGATGAGATCAGAGTCAGAGGGAGATGGAAAATACTTGACCTGACATTCACAGCCAGATTTCAGTACTTTACAGTTTTTGAAACTCTGTGCTACAGACACATTTCAGTCAGTGCCAAAAAGTATTAATTTTCAGTATCCAGCTTAATTAAAATTGGGTTATTTACTGTATACAATACAATATGTATAATGGGTTTTGTCAGGAACAGTATTAAAATATTTGTTAATATTTTTGTATATTTTCTATATTTATTAATTTCTGGTGAAACTCAATATTTATGTTTTTTAAAGGGTTCAATTTTAAATGTAGTGATTCTCAAAACACTGCAATCATTCACTTAAATAAGACCATGTGTACTATATTTAAAATTAAAACTCCCAAATTCCCCGAAAAAATCAGGACGTGACTTCTGTCCTCAGTCCTTCAGGGTGTGAAACAGTCTGACTGCACTGGATATTATCCATGCATGCTAATTCTTACAGATCTACTGACTGATACCCTCGAAGTCTTGAGGAAAATCATGTGGACTATTCATTTGATCAGAGGTTGATGACAATGACTGATTTTAGGGCCACAACCAGATGGGAATCTATCATTTTATCAGTCCTTCTTACTCTATTCTGCTTTTTTATTTTATTTTTTTAAACAGGATGACACAGAGCCCTATTTTATTGGAATATTTTGTTTCGAGACTGGCATCAAGATCATCGCCTTGGGCTTTGCCTTCCACAAAGGCTCCTACCTGCGTAATGGCTGGAATGTAATGGACTTTGTGGTGGTCCTAACAGGGTGAGTAGCACTGGCCTAATGGCTTATATAGCTGCTAAGTGACAGAGTTGATGGGCAGCAGCGATTAATGAGGGGAGGGGAGAGCTCTGCTCTGTGTGTGTGTGTGTGTGTGTGTGTGTGTGTGGTGTTTCCTAATGATCAATAGAGCAGAGCCATTCCAGATGGCAGGGTGTTTTCTTCCTGTTTTGATAAGGTGGTATTGTCTACAATCGACAAGCAGAAAACCAGAAGGAAATCAGATTACACACAGTGCAGAAAAGAGTGCAGCTCAGGATTTCAGGGAAATATGTTTTTGTGATGCACACTGTAATTATTTCAGAATGATAAAACCAGAGAGCCTCTTCCTAAAAATGAGAGGATAGTTTGTGAACGCACACACCTCCTGTTGCCGGTATTGTGTTGAAAGTGAATGTGCCACAACAGCATTAATTAATTTGAATAGATCGGTAAACAACAGTATATGTACCAATGAAAAGAGATGTGTAACACTCTAAACAAAGCGGGTAATTGAGAAACCCCATATTTTAATATTTTAACTGGCTTAATGCAGACATAGTAACTTCTCCACCCTTAGAACAGTTCTCTCTAATGTTACAGAAACAAGGCACTAACAGACATATAACGTGTTTTTTTTTTTTGTTTGTTTTTTTAACTTACCGTTAAGTTCCACCAAGTAGTGGAAACATCACTCCCTTTCAAGTAGCTCCAAGGTTAGTAAATCTGATCATGGTCACTGCATCTTCCCCCACATAACCACATACAGTCCTAAAGTAGTGAAATTAATTCCAACAGGTAGTGTAGTACCAACAATAACATCATGGGTCGTTAATGCGTTCTTTAGCCAGCAACACATCACGTGTGGCAGACACACTGGCCTCAAGCTGTCAAAACAAACAGGTACTGTGCTCTGGGGGAATCCAGCATTCATGAGCTCATTTTGTGAGCTTTAGGTCACATTTAAGATGATAAACACCACTGTAACACTGTAGATAATAATCTGAAAACAAGGAAAAGCATCTCATGGGCTCTTTATGTTTTCATTCAGCATTAGTTGAAGTTCTTTTAACTGTTCACCTTAGCACTTTTTTAATATGTATATAGCCTAGACTGTCAGAAAATCAACTAGCATGAATTTCAGTGATTATTTGACCACATTAACATGGGTATTTAAATGCAAAAGAGTGACAGGAATATATTTCAGAGCATTAAAAATCAATAAAAACAGCTGTATATGATGCAATTTTTAAATCACGACCTATTTAAAATGATGATATAAAATGTCGGACTGCCATATGGGTTTGATGGAATAACAAGACAGGCAGCTCACATTCCTGTTGAAACAGTGCTGTTATAGGCAGTTTTTTCTTCTGAGACATGGTTATAGCCTAGTTTACCAATCAGTTTAAGCTTCTCCCGTCAGTTAACAACAACATGTTGTTACTGTGTGTCTGATGTGTGCCAAATTGCACTGCTAACAATTCCTCTTATTTGTTATTCCTCACTGAAATGTTTTCCCTGTGCATTTAGCTTCCTAGTCCTGTTCAGATGGATGCATGTGAGAAGCAGTCGGTAGATAGCTGTGCATTGCACTTTAATGGAGATGGGTAAACAAACCAGACTTACATAACATTAGGCTATGCATAACCAGCCATAAAGTCATGACCATCTTTTTTCTTGTAAAAGTAGACCACTGTGTTTAAAACACTTCTAATAAAGTACAAATCTCGCCTTTATGTGGCTTGTCCTAATGGGTTTTGTTGTTATTTTCTCCTTGTTCTGCAATTTGCGAAATAGATCCAATGTATATACATCCATGTTTCGGACAGTGTCACCATTGAAAGGAGAAAGTATTGATCACATTGCTGCTTGGCACACCAAAATGAGGAGAAGAAGACAACAAACTAACTGGGGCTGGGGCAGCCTTAAATTGTAATTGGCTGACAAAAAATAAAGGCTCGACTAGAAGAGTCTTAGTTGACTGACAGGTCTCTTGATTAATGACTCCACTATTTGACTATTAGGGGACAGCCATACTGTTTAGTTATTTGTCTAGGATATAGAAATTCTCAGTAAGCTTAAAAGTATGTTGCCAGACCAGTTGTAAGCTCTTTTTCATTCTGCCATCTCTGCCTGTGGAGTAAACAGAGAGGTTCCCTTGGTATTGGATGAGAACACTACGGGAATAGTGCTGTTGGTGCTGAGGGATGAAGACACGGAGAGCAAAAGGGACTAGAATGTTGGAGGTTGGTGAGGCAGGGCGGGGGTAGTGACGGTGGATGCTGCTATGCTATAGGAAATCCCTGGGCGCTTGATAGTTTCAACAGAGGACACCTGACTTTGCTTACATAATGATACAGAGATTTATTTGGCACATCTATTGAGATTTAAGTCAGGAACATCATTGCAATAAACAGACCCAAACCCCTCTTCAATGCCCCTGCCACTTCCACTGGAAGTCATGGAACCCTTGTTCTTGGTGGCTGAAAAGAAAGGGAAACAGTCAGTGGAAAATGTAATAAATGCCATTCACCGGAATAAGTCTGGTTTTTCTGGAATGATGCTGTGGTCTTTGTGTGTGTGTGGGTGTGTCTGCATATGCATTTGTTGGGGTTTTATTCTAGAACATACCAGTGATGTTATGTATGTTTTATTTGCTTTATTTTCTTTATTGTAAACCACTGGTGCCACAAACTGTTTCAGAGCAAACAATAATATCTTATTTTAGATGATTTATTATGTTCTTTAATACTGTCCAGGCAGCAATAGTTTTCCATTTTATTAGTCTGAAGGTGAACATGCAACTTCTTTAAGGGAATTTATTACATTAAACATATTAAATTCATTTTAAATACATATTTTTGAATTCAATCTCTACTTAACAGTTGTATTCCTCAGCTGATATATCGTTCAATGGCCATTACAAGACTTTAGGTATGATCGGTTGGTACATAGGTGGTCATTGTAATAATTACAAAGGCCAGAGATTGAATTTAATGATGTAGCATATGAAGGAAGAAAGTACATGTTGTGTGGAAGTTGAAATGGGTCAGAAAGCACCAGATTTTCCTAAAGGTGAGTGGTATTTGATTCCAATATGAAAGATTGTGTTTTTGTGTCAGTGATTGTTTTCACCCAACCCAGTCTTTTCCACCTGTCCCTAAAGGTTAGGTTTTTGTGCCTAAACCTATGAAAGTACAAAAAGCAGGAACACTTTATGCTGTTATTATAAGAAGATGATGACCAGTGCCTTCCTATGAAATTTGCACAGTGGCTCATATTCCAAAATCAGGAGTCCGGCCATAAATGTTACTAGAATGCGTACACTTTTTTGAGCCCATGGAGCCTATGCAGTTGCATCTTGGAGCCTAAACGCCCACCAGGAGTTGACTTCTTATTGGCTCCCTGCAAACATAAATGGGATAAAATAAGATGATCCTATGGCTCTTCTCAATTTTCCAAATGATATTGAATCCAGTGGATCGAATTTGCTCCTTTTTCAATGTTTGTCAATGGTAAAACGCTTTTTCTAATGTGGTTTGTCGACTTCACAGCCCAACTTATGAATGAGGGCTTATTGCAGGACTGTTGGATTAGACTGCATTAGTTTTAGCTAGCTGTAAACTATAATTGAGGCTATGAGTTATAGTTAAAAAAGCTAACAGAAGCAAAAGCAACATCAGTGGGTGTATGTGCGTTTGTGCATGTATGTAGCATCTGATCTGAGTTGAATGTGCTGAGCATTGAGGTGAGGGCTATTGACAGGTTGTCTGGGCCTGTATGCAGCCAGAGCCTTTCTCTATGTATGTGTATTTGTGGATAGGAGTGGCTCAAGCAGGCCTGATTGAATTGGAGCTGAACAAGCTGATGTGGTAACTATAATTGAAGGGCTGGATGGTGGATAGAGGCCATTATGGCTGTGGTCTGGACATCTAATCAGTGCCATGCCATGCTGATGTGGTGAGCCATGTTTTCAGGAGAAGATGCTTGGTTGCTCAAAGAGAGTGCATGCACACATTACACATGCAGACTCTTTTAAACATGTGTGTACACACATGCACACACATGTTTTGCAACAAATCACTTCTCCACAATGATGTTAATTTCCTGCAGGATGTACTGCGTACAGTCCCTTAGGAATTAGGCATTAGCAAAGGCTCAGTAATTATCAGCATTCAGCAAATTTGAACAGGACTTCAAAGTATCAGTCAGCTTAGCTGCTTGTTTGTAATATGAGCATTCACAGTATTTTCTTTAATGTTAAATGAGATGATGAGGCAATTGCTGCAATAAGTAGGACAAGGGTTAGACTGTATAGATAATATTGCATTGCTTATTATTAACCAGAGGGTACAAAATGTGACAACAGTTTAGCAGACCAAAAGAGATAGCACTGAATTCATGTTTTGCTTTTGCTTGAGCAGCTCACTGACAATAAGGTTTATGTTAAAGCTACATTGATTTATTTCTTACCACTTGGGAGACAAAGAATTCCATATAAGCTGATAAGCAGACAGGCCTTATAAAGTATCAGTATTAACATGTTAGCAAACAGCTGCCTATTTACACATTCAGCAGACCTTGAACAACATGATCAGTCATTTGAAGTCATGCTTTTCTCCACATGATTATAAGCCCAGCATTGACTCTCCTTTTAGCTCTGTTTTGGTTTCCACCAAAATGTGTCTTTACCTGCTAGATGTTTGACTTTCTTCACCCGACAGCTTCTCACTTAGTTTTTCTGGTAGGGATGTTGCAGTGGGCTTTGTGTTGCTGCAGCTGGTAGCGGCAAATGATATCGTAAGCTAATGTTAACAGTGGCTGAAAAACTCCATAGAGCTGAGCTGGGTGAAAGCGATACCTTTTAAAGGAATATTATAGTATCTTGGAAACTACGGATACATTTGCATTCTTTCTGAAAAAAAAAACATTGTAGGCTAACTCTCAGTTTTGTGCTAACTACAGTGCTGGAGTCAGGATTAGGTTAGCCTATCTTAACATAA